GAAGCTCCTAAATTGAGAACGACCCTCGAAGTCACACGGCTCAAAGGGGTTGACTAAAGGATGACACATTTTGGGATAATCAACATTTGGGCGTGGACTAATCCTATGCCTCCATCATACTTACTAGTGACAACTTGTGATGCTACACACTGTGGTAAGAGGGAACTATCACACCGGAAGCAAACGATCGGCTCAAAGTTCACAAGCTACCTAGTTACCCAACCATATATTCCAATTCACAAACACGATGCATGGCAATTGTAAGCAACAAGTGATGAAGTCAAGACATCCATACATTTATGCACACCTGAGAACTAAACTTTTGCCCTATCCTAATGAACTTCTCAGTCATCATCATAGGATATACTCGATCACATGCAACAAGTCAAGATCAATGCCAATAAACACGAGAATTTCCCACCATCCGGCCACTTTGCTCATGCAAACATTGCTTGGAGCCCTCAAATTTTTGAAATTTGGGCATACAAAAGGCTCCAAGCATTAATCACACTCACACAAGTGTACTAGTAAACTACCCCCCCCCCCCAACCAACACTTAAACTCGACATTGCCCTCAATGGCGTAAGAAAGGGGTTGAATGATGTTACCGCTTGGGCTTGGTGAGTGAAAGTTGGAATCGAACCGGGCTAGGATAATTGAGCTTCAAGGAAAGACAAAAAATACACGCACACAAACACAATACGACTCGCTCGAGGCGAGGTTATTACAAGCACAATACATAGTAGTGGTTTATGTCACACACACAAAATCAAGAAAAATAACAAAAAGAAAAAGAAAACAAGTTCAGGGTTACAAGTAGAGAAGTGGGGCGAAAGGATTCCGCTCTGCCACATGTCTCACTCGTCGGCTACCTCTCTACGGTGGAAGGACCCTCTCCAGCATCGGGTAGGATACCCTGGCGTCAAGCCATAAGATGGAGGATGTCAGTCTGCCGGTCGAGGCGGGTTGAGAATCCCATGAAGTTCGTCTCTAAGCGATCCACCCTCTGGACGAGGGGATTGTCTGCTACTGGTGGTGGCTGATGTGCAAGGCGCTGGAGCGCTGGGCGTCAGTGGCAGCCAGGTGCATGGGCAGGTGGCTACTCGGCTGCTGGTGGGACCTCGAGGTCAGGCTCTACTGTAGCTCGGATGACTCTGGAAGGTTGGTGTCCGTCAAGGTACTCCACTCCTCTCTCCCCCTGGAGTACTAGCTTCTGGTTATACAATGTCTCCACTGGGAAGGGCTCCATCCTTCTAACTCTGGTGCAGCGGGCCAAATCCACCTAGAAGTGACGGCGAACCTCGTGATGATGCCCCTCGTATGCATAGTGTCCACTCTGTTCCGCCTCAGGCACCGGGCGAAAGAGGTGGCGATCAATGATCCCAGATGGATCGGCTCTGCTGGACTCCTCATCGAGTAGAGGGCAATGAGCCCTCTGTTCCTCATCAAGTGGCCTGACTGGAGGCTGGGGAGGACGGATCTTGTGAGCAGAGTGTGGAGGATCCTCCACTAGGTCTTCAGCTTCAACACATTGGTGCGACTCCCCTCAAACTCGTTCTGCTCGTGCCCTGGGCGGCAGAGGGCTCGAAATGCGCCCTGATAGTTGAAGTCGATGGTGTACTACCGCTCCGTCATCGTCATGTGGGCTGTGTCGAGCCCCATGGTCTGCGCAAAGGCATCCTAGGTCAGCACTCGTGGCTGACCTCCCAGCATAAACTCCACCCGTGGCCGACTCTTCTTGCTGGCCGGGACTATGTGGGAGAAGGTGGAGTAGAACTCCATGCACAGCTCATGGTAGATCTCCTCGTCCATGGTCAAGATTTGGCGCCACTAGGGGTGGCTGAGCACTCCAGCCAACGCAGCTCAGCACCTGAACAAGTTAAACATGTCCAGGTCCAGCCGCCAGTGAGGCCCAATGGGCTGCCACTCTTGTAGGAGAACTTGTCGCCAAAGTTCAGGTAGTTCACCAGATAACTGATGAACTCATGCTCCAAGTTGAGCATCCTACACAAATACAAACACACACCATACGTGGAAACATTCGTCAAATAATGCTCATTGGGAGGAAAAGAAATCCCCCCCCCCCCCCACTCTTGTTTTTCCACCATGGTTATCAAACATTTAAGCCCAAACTATTGTGGCATGGTTGTGGGTAATTCACGGTTCATGCACACAAAAAGTTGAATCACAACCCTTACCATGGTGACTACCATCCACCAAACCAGAGTAAACTCCACTTGCAATCATAACAAAGCACTTGGTGGGCAAAATCTAAAAATAAACACAATTCGATTCAAACTCGCCCGCCAAGGCTCACTAAGCTCATGCAAAAAATCAATCCATCATTCAATCGACCTAATTCACCTAATTCCTCGCCCTAAATCTAAATTCAATCATGCAAAGCACAAAAATTCAACCTGACTTCTCTACCTAATCCGATTCTCCACAATTCACAGAGGTCAAGTCGAAAAACAAAATGGAGACACAAGTGGGACGTAGGAGGAAGTGAGGTGCGGGCGAGGACGGTGAAAAACGGTCGGGAAACTGACCGGAGAGGGGTCGTCAGAGCTTCGTCGGAAGCTCGTCAGAGACTCGCCGCCGGTGACTTGGCCGGAAAAATGTGCTCCAAATCTCCCCAAAATCTCTGCACAAGCCGGGTTTGAGGAGAGGAGACTGGGTATGATGATGGTTTGGGGTTTTGCTCGCCGGAAATGGGGGAAAAATTGAAAAACATACGGAAAAATCGAAAAATCAGTAACCTCTGTTTTGGCTCTGTACGCCTCTCAATTCAAGGTCAAGGGCTCTTCTTCACGGTCATGTAAGATCGTGAACTTCCTTGGATGGCCGTGAACTGGCCCTTTTTCACCTCTTCTCCCGGTTTTCGATCATTTTCGCCCAACTTTCGACCCCGAGGCTGGTTTCACCTATTAAATCCTGAAACACACTAAAACACGAAAAACCTAACGTAAAACAAACCTTTTAGGAGTGAATTTGGCACAAACACCTAAGTAAAACGGGGGCAAAACATGTGCAATTAGGCTCGAATAAGCGGAACTACTTTGGCGGAAAGGGCAATGATGGGCAACTTCACATATATTTTTCTATTAAAAAATATTTGAAAAGAAAAAATAATCAAATTAGGGCTCGGTCAATTCCTTTTCCTTCCTTCGGTTGAACTCATCGCTAAAATAGTTGTCATAATATTGTACGTACGTAAGAATTAATATCATTATTAACAATTAATGATCATATTTTTATCAACCACTAGCATTAATTATTCTATTGGAGTTCTTTTATTCTTAGTTTTAAATCATGATTAGCAAAAGATGTTGAAATTAACCGGGCCGAAGTACTACTTTGAGTTAAACTACCTAGACACAACATGAAAAACAAGAGCTAAGCTCCATGAGCTTTATCCTTTCCTCGTGCATTATTTTGAGTTATACATTAAATAACAATTAAAATGATAATGTTGGAACATTAATCTTGAGAATTATCATTTTAAATGTTATGTGTCTTTGTGTTATCAAATGATTTACCATACTAATAAGATTATATGTTAGTTTCCATATGAAACTTATAATCCTACGATTTTACGATTCGATTTTAGGATTCCGATTTTACCTTAGTTTTCAATTTTAGGTAAAATCCTGATTTTGTCTGCTTTGGAGGTGGTATCTCAAGTTTTTGTCATTGGTAATTTTTAATTTGACGAATTGAAGGATGAGAGAAGACTAATACTAGTGTTTGCTTTTTGGTGTTATGAAAATAAAAATAGATTGGTGATTGAGGGTAGTGTAGTAGTGAATGAGAGAGTCTAGTTGAGAGGATAAAATACTCACTAGCTTATATTTCGGTATTGTTTGGTATTTTGGTATATACCGATCCCAATTCCGTAATTCCTAATACCGAATAACAATTGAAATTGAATCTCAATCCCAATCCCAAGAAATAATACATGCATTCGGTAATACCAAATATAGACAAATTCGGTACGGTAGTCAGTATATCCCAAATACCAGTACCAAACTTCCAGCCCTAACCACCACCGTCATCCAAACAATTATGCATATATAAACCATCATCCAATTCTCTCCCCAACCAAACAACAACCATGAGAAAGAGAAGAGAGAAGCTCGATTCCAAATCCTCCAAAACCCTGCCGCCGTCGTAGGCCCACTCCTCCGATTTTTAGTTCACCATCACCTTCTCCCCTCGCAAAATCCACCCCCCGCCATCTGCCCCGCCGATAATTTCTTCTACAAAGGCCAACTCCTCCCCCTCTACCTCCCCCCACCTCCATGGTCTCTGTACCCTCTTCCTCACCTCCTCCTCCTCCAATGCCACCACCACCGCTTCCCTCTAGCAACCCTACAGCGTCCCGACTGCAGCATTGTCGGACTAGAACAAGGGGAGGGATGGAACGAATGAAATTAATTAGGAGTTTTTAATCCACTTTCACACAATTAAATTAAATTATAATTATAAGAGATAATTGGGTCATTTCCCACTCCACTTGACGGCCATTTCAAAGAATTTTCAACAGACGTGTATTTTTGTTACATTGTGATATTAGAAGGGTACGTGTGTGCAAAAATATAGTACATGGGCACGTTTGTTAATTTGCAATAGTAGATGGGCACAAAATGCTATTAACCCTTTAATAAAATTACAAAATTAAAACATGTAGTTCTCTTGAAAACTAACTGATAGGGTATGCAGGTAAAGCCTAATACTTGGAGAACGTCCACAAGAAGAGTCCAAGAGAAGCCAAGACATAGGGGCAAAACCCTAGAGGCTTACATCATCAGAGGAAGAAGACAAGGTTAAGAGACAAGTTGGCACACCCGACATCAGCAAGGAAGAGGTTAGGGGGACACCCTTTGCACCACCAGCCACCTTCTAACCAGAAGTACAATGTACAGTGACAGAGAGTCTGAGGTGCATGGACCACACACATACTATCCAGACTTGTATAAACAGGAGCGTTCTTATGAATAGGGGGTTATCTACATTTACTCCAACTTCTCTCAACTTTTTATCTCTAGTCTTTCCCTCGTGCTCTAGCTAAGAGTGGGAGGCACCTACACTCTCGGAGTAATGTCTATCACCCCAAACGCCCTTTGACCCGAGCGACCCCCTATCACTTAGGCTCAAACAATTGGTGCCCACCGTGGGGCTAGACATGACTTTGAAAGACGCTCCCCCTCAAAGAAGACATATGAGAAGAGCATGCCTCCAACTAAAAAATCCCCTTTGGAAACTAATCGGTCGGGAGACACCCAATCCATAAGCGCTTACTGTAGAAGAAATTGAACCATCCAATGATTAGGACGCGCCAACAACAACAGAAGAAACCAAATGGCTTGGACACCTCCTTGCCAAACTTCAAGATACGCAAGGGCGGTAGAGGGTGAGCATGAAGGGGCAGCTCGACCAAGCATTGTTGGTGCTCTCAGAAAAAAGATATACTCTTGTGCCACCCCTTTCTCAAATCACCCGGGACGAATGTTGAATGCTCAAAGAAAGGGCACATATGATGGAGAATTAAGTGGTAGCATTGTAGGATGCCAACAATGAAGAGGAAAGACCAAGCGCCACACAAAACGATGAGGCACCTGACTAAATGAAGAAGAGGTCGAGCGCCTAAGGCACCACCTCACCAATTTCCAAGAGAAACAAGAATTTCATATGGCCAGCATGCAAGGACAACTTGGCCAAGTAATAACAACTCTATAGACCATGAGGAAAGGACGCGCTCTGTCACCTCGAGAGGAAATGACGGGCTCTAACGTAAAAAAAACTCGAAGGATATATGCTAGTAGTTGAAAATGAAGTAATTGAAGCTTTATTGGATACTGGGCGCATAGCCATGGGTCCCCATGAGAGGAGCTATCCCTACAATATCCCTCGAATTTCCCTGCTTAGACAAGTGTAGCTCATATAGCTCGCTTCCTAAGTCGAGGAGAAGTCAAGGCGCGTTATATCTTGTTCATGAGCATCGGTGCTCTGCTTTGGGGAGCATCACCAATGGTTCAGAGGATGCTCATCCCAACCGATATCCATTCCTCGCTAAAACGGAAGAGCCCTAGAGCTTGCATCTGGCTCTTCAGTCAGGTATTGGGCGCCCAACCATGGGTCCCCATGAGAGGAGGTATCCCTACAATATCCTTCGAATTTCCTTGCTTGGACAGATAGAGCTCATATAGCTTTTCTCCCTCGAGGAGAAGTCTAGGCATGTTATATCCTATTCAGAAGCGCCGATGCTCTGTGTGAGGAGCATCACCAATAGTTTAGAGGATGTTCATCCCAACCGATATTCATTTCCCACTAAAGCGGAAGAGCCCTAAAGCTTGCGCCTGGCTCTCCAGTCAGGTGCGGGGCGCCCAACGATGGATCCCCATGAGAGTAGGTATCCCTACAATATCTCTCGAATTTCCCTACTTAGACAGATGGAGCTCATATATCACGCTTCCTCCGTCAAAGAGAATCCTAGGCGCGTTATTTCATGTTCAGGAGCGTCGGTGCTCTGCTTTGGGGAGTATCACCAACGGTTTAGAGGATATTCATCCCAAATGATATTCTTTCCCACCAAAGCGAAGAGCCTAAGAGTTTGCGCTAGACACTTTAGATGAGTGCCAGGCGCCTGAATCCTAGATCCCCGTGAGAGATGATGTCCCGAACACATCCCTCATAATGTCCCTGCTTAGGTACCTCTTTCAAGTTGTCAAGCTCCTTCTAAGGCACCTCTTTCAAGTCGTCGTGTTGTTTTCCTGCTTAGTCGGAAGGATTCACTTGTGCTCTCTTACTCTATCGAGGATAAGGGTGGCGTTTTGCTCGTTGACCTTGTCGAGGAGAAGCAGAGGCAAGTGGTCCCCATCATCACTAGTATGTGGTGCATCGATTTTATGGGCTGAGGGTCCATCAACCTCGTCGCCGGAGGTGCCATGCACCTTGAATCGTGTATTGATACTTGCAAAATGGAATGTCATACATTGAAAAGAAATGAAAGAGCCTAGGTTCTCAACCAAAAATTTAGTAGCGACAAAGCAACGACAATTTGCCTCGATGCTCTATTTAATGGAAAGGAAAGTAAGGGCAAGCGCTCTAAAACAAGATCCTAGGAGACCACACCTCGACAAGGAAAGAAGAACGGTTACATGATGAGGCGCTCAAGATTGACACATTGAGGAAAAGCTTGACATTGGGAAAGTCTGACAAGGGGTGATAAGAAGTTCACCCATTATCCCATCCTTATTCTAAAACAAGTCTGACAAGGGCAAGCAAGCGAAGAAGTGAGATGCCAGAAATCCCACCACTGAAGATCATGCAGGTCGTTGAAGGAGTGCGGCACCTCGTACCCTACTGAAGGTCATGCACCTCGCTGAAGGAGTGAGGTGTTAGGCGCCCAACTAAAGGTCAGGCACCTCGGCAAAGGAGTGAGTTGCCAGGCGCCCCACTGAAGGTTAGGCACCTCGCCGAAGGAGTAAGGTGTCAGGCACCCAACTGAAGGGTAGGCACCTCGACAAATGAGCGAGTCGCCAGACGCCCCACTGGAGGTTACACATCTCGCTCAAGAGTGAGGCTCCAGGCTCCTAACTAAAGGTCAGACACCTTGGCAAAGGACAAAGGAGCAAGTCGTCAGGCACCTCATTGAGTTTGGGTCTTAAGGCAACTAACGACAAGCTGGGTGACAAGTGCTTAGCAAAAGACATAAGCGAATGAGTGAGCGCCAGGCGTCCCATTGAAGGTCAGGAATATCAATGACGGAGTGAGGAGCCTCAGTGATTGTTAGACAACTTGGCAAAGGAGCAAGTCGTCAGGCGCCTCGATGAAGTGCTAGGCGCCTCGGTGAAGCGCTAGGCGCCACGGTGAAGCACCTATGCGCTAAAGTAAACTATAAAAGTAATGTCAGACCTACAAGAGTAAGGTTATAAGTCATAAGCGTTAAACAAAAGCGAAAGAGTGAGGCGACCCATTAGAGGTCAGACACCTCGCTGAATGAGTGAGATGTCAGGCGCCCTACTGAAGGTCCGACACCTCACTGAAGGAGTGAGGCGTAATTGGAGCAGACACCCCAACTCTAGAAGGTCAGACACAAGCGAAGGAGTGAGGCGTCAGGCGTCTTACTAAAGTTTAGACATCTTGTTGATTGAGTGAGGCATCAAGCACCTCACTGATGGTCAGACACCTCAGCAAAGGAGCGAGCCTCTAGGCACATCGGTGAAGCGCCTATGCGCTCAAGTAAACTAAAACAAGTAATGTCAAACCTACAAGAGTAAGGTTAGAAGTCATAAACATTAGACACAAGTGAAGGAGTGAGGCACCAGGCGCCCCACTGAAAGTCAGGCACCTTGCTAAAGGAGTGAGATACTAGATTCCCAACTGAAGGTCAGATACCTCGGAAAAAGAGCGAGCCGTCAGGTGCCTGGGTGAAGTGCCTATGTGCTCAAGTAAACCAAAACAAGTAATGTCAGATTCACAAGAGTGAGGTTAAAGTCATATGCATCCAAACGAAGGAGTGAGTCACCAAGCACCCCACTGAAGATCAGTCACCTTCAGCAAGTGCCAAGTGCCAGGCGCCCACTCAAGGTCAGGCACGTCGCTGAAGAAGTGATGTGTCAGGCGCCCTACTGAAGGTCTGACACCTCGGAAAGGAGCAAGACGCCAGGCACCTCGTTGAAGCACCTATGCACTCGAGAAAACCAAAACAAAGAAATGAAAGTAGCATATACACTACACAAGACAAGTGCTCAGCCAAAAAATCGAAGCAAGCACTCTTCTAAAATTGAGAAGTAATCGAAAGAAAAATAGAAGATCTCGGACAATGAATGGAAAGTATGGGAATAGTAGGAATCATCTTTTTCCAAAAAGGAGAATATGGGAAAAGAGCGTCAGGTGCTCGCACAAATGGGCAAGGCACAGAGTATTCAAAGGCAAACTGACAAGTTTGTTTCTTTTTCATTTGAATGTCAAGATAGATTGAATCATCTGACACGAACTAAAGTCCTCAACTAGATCGGAAGAAGATTGTATTGGCAGAGCCTAGGCGCTTCTAACATGAGCCTAGGCGCATCCTCTAAAATGCAAGAGTAGGCACTCAGGAATTAATTGATGATGAAAGGAAGAATGCAAGCATCAGGCACTCGATAAAAGGGGCATGATTGCTTCTTTAGCTAGTCTCCGTACTTGAGACATGCACTTTTTCTTTCTCATTTTACTACATCTTGTTTGGAAGCAAGCACACCCACGAGGGCACACAAGCTCTCAAATGATCAGAAGATCGATAATGGAATGAAGCAAGCCCCTGCTTCTGGGAGCATGAGAATAACCATCATGGTCCATCCAATGAAAGGTAGCAGGCGCTTGAAAGGAAGCCTGGTGTCGATTGTGTAAAGAAAGACAACAGGCGGTTGATCGAGAAGACAAGAAAGCAAGGTTATCAAAAGACTTTCTTTATGTTGACGCCTCCATGATCTCATATCGACGCCAAAGGGGTAATGATAAGGTATGAAGTTAAAGCCTAATACTTGGAGAAGGTCCATAAGAAGAGTCCAATAGAAGCCAATACATAGGGGCAAAACCCTAGAGGCTTACATCATCAGAGGAAGAAGACAAGGTTAAGAGACTAGTTGGCGCACCTAACATCAGCAAGGAAGAGGTCAGGGGGACACCCTGTGCACCACCAGACACCTTCTGACCAGAAGTACAATGTACAGTGATAGAGAGTCTGAGATGCATGGACCACACAAATACCATCCAGACTTGTATAAATAGGAGTGTTCTCCTCATGAATAGGGGGCTATCTACATTTACTACAACTTCTCTCAACTCTCTCTCTAGTCTTTTCCATCGTGCTCTAGCTAAGAGTGGGAGGTGCCTATAGTCTCGGAGTCATGTCTATCACCCCAAATGCCCTTTGACCCGAGCGACCCCCTGTCACTTAGGCTCAAACACTAAGTTATTTAAAGAATTATGAAAAAATAAATAAATAATTAGCACAATGTCAATACTTATAAAATATAATTAACAATTGAGACAACATATAACAATAATTTAGTATATATACATTAAGATAATGGTTAATTTAGCTATTCAATAAATTTATTAATTAATCATAAATAAATTAATGTAATGTATTTGGTAATTTGATGATTTTAATATAAGCGAAAAATTTCGTTGTTTCAACTTTTTAACGAAGAGAAAGAAGAGGAAAATTTGATGCTTTCAAAAGGAGGCTGCACAACTCAAAAAGGTAAATGTCGCAACCGTCCCTCGGGTCCGGGTCGCGTTCGCTTTTGGAGTCGCCATTGATCTTACTTGGAGTAGATCGAACACTCTTCGGTCGGCCCTAACCATAGGGTCAGAAGAATGGCTGGATAACCGTGCATCAGGGTCAATCACATCGTGAGCCGATTTGGTGAACAAATATTTGAACCGTTACCATCCCCCATCCAAGATAGCAGATCTCCAAAAAGAGATTACCCACTTTGTGCAGGAGGAGGACGAGACCCTCAGAGATGCATGGGCGCGATATACAGGTCTCTTCCTGAAATGCCCCCATAAAGGATTTAGTGACCCTTCAAGGTCGGCAATTTCTACCAGGCCCTCTTTCTCGAGACCAACAGTTGATTGATTTTGTATGCCACATAAATATGATGACTAAAACTCCCCTAGAAATTAATCAAACTTTTTGAGGGCCTTGCAGAACAGGGTTATGACTAGGGAGTTGCAAAGAGAAGTCGACGTGTTCAAGGCCAAGGTGTTCATGCTATGGAGGCTCGACCATCAGCCCTGGAAGCTAGAGTTCTGAGCTTGTTACAAAAATCGACCATAAAGGATTTGTTATTGGCACAGGCAAGCCCCAGGTGATGTACTGCTAGTGGTGCTAGAGCTAAAATCACATGGTGGAGGATTCAGGCCATGAAAGAATCCAACACATATCACTTGAGTTCGTGCAGATTATTGTCAATGGTTAGCACGTGTCAACAACTACCACATCCTAAGCCAAGTTTAACCTAGGATGGCATTGTCGTATAGTGGTAATCAATGTCGTATTTTACTCGGGTCCTGGTACCCTAGCCTACTTCCCAGTTCCCACCTAGTTGCTAATTAGTTAATCGCTTTTGGAGGTTTAAGTGGAGGAATTGAGGAGATAACTAGACTAGAGATTGATCAAAGCTAAAAGCAGGTACTTCGGGGTTACTATGCATGCATAAATACTTAGGGTTATCGAATGTGGTGAGTGAGCTCTTTTTCGGGAGCTTTCGTGGTTATCAACAAGCCTCTGAGTACGCCTCCCCTAAATCCATATATAGTCACCTCGATCTAGGCTATTGTATCTGGGGCATTTAGCTCATGGCTCATTTCAATGGACACTATCCACCATCCACACCGAGGTTTCATCCCGGGTTCTATCTAAGAAGGCTAACCTACAGCAGGGGTTTGGCCGCCTCGACCACCATAGGTCCCTATTCATACATCTCAAAATCTTCTCATCTCCCAAGGGAGAAAGAAGTCTTCTATTTATAGGCAATCTGCGGATGGAGAAGATCACGGCCAAAAGCACAGAGATCGCGGTCGTGATCTTTAGTAGTGAGGCGCGATCTTGAAATTACGTCGTCCTGACCTTCAAAAATGAGGAGATCGCGGGCTAACTTCGTGGTCGCGATCAATGAGTCGCAGCCTCGATCTTCCTCACGGTCAAATAATGTTGTGGCCGTGATTCAACTAGGGAAAGTCTTTGATTCTCCCTCGCTCATTCCTCACGAAGTTCGCACCCTTAGCCCTCCAATTCGTGATCGCGATCTAGGGCTTCTGGAGAAATTCACATATTCCAATCAGTTTAATCCAACTCTCTACAGTCAGGATATCACAAATGTAGCTATCCCTGTCGGGAATTACTACGTACTAAACAATTAAATCAAATCCTACTATCGTAGCTCAATGAGTTAATTATTTAGCCTGAAGATCGATATCCCAATCAAGACCGCATAGTATCTTATTTAATCCACTGTCGCTTCGATAAGTTACTATGTCACATGAAATATGTTCAATTATTAGGGTTTCACTGTCGCTAATAACCTAATTAACTACGATTCATGGTATTGGTGGCCAATCAACACAAAGCATTAAGCAATTTCATGCAATAAAGATTGGAAGAAAAGAAATATGAATCAATCCATCAAATATAGAAATAGCTACATCCTATGGTGTTTCCACCAGAAATTGGGGTTTAGTTCATGACGAAATCAAAAGATATAATCATGTTCATACTCATTGAACTAATCACGAGCGAAAGAAAATACTGATTTTGAATTATGCATTGCGATCTCCTGTTCCTCACGATAGTTTGTTGTTGTCCCGCACTAGTCGCCTGTTATTCGCTCTTGTTCCGCGCTGCCCTCGCTATTATTCCTCCCAAAAGGAATTCTCTGCTCGCCAATTCCTTCTCCAATTAATTCCCTCTATCCAATATATTTCCTTTAGCACCTAGCGGCTCCCAAAAGATCCCCGGTCCAATTAATTCAATTTCGTCCAGGACTCTCCAAAGGCGTCCAAATAATTCCAAGTCTCCAAACTCTGTGTTGCCTCTTTTCTTCCTTTTTTTTCCAAGGACAAAAAATTTGGTCCCTTTTAAATCCCAGAACAAGAATTGCAATTCCCTTTAGCTCAATTCCGGGTCCAGGTTCTCCTTGTGGGCTGACCGGCTGGTTTCAAATGGACCAACTGCTTGCTACATAATAGATCCCAAATTCCCTGTCCAATTAATTATACTCTCGCTTTTCTTGTACTTCTTTTTCCATTTGGTTGTGCTATTGCAATCTGCCCGTGTTGTCATTTTATCATTTTCTTCACCTGAAACACATCAAGAACTCTAACACCGGATGGTAATGGCTTTTCAACCATTCCATAGTTAATTGGCCCTAAAGCAAGCATTCTATGTTTTCGACAATTATCACAACCCCACACTCAAAACTTGCTTGTCCCTAAGCAATGACTCAGACAAGAGAACGATAATTGGAGGAAACACAACACATGCAACACAGGGACAACCTTGTTCAAAACGCATGACCCACAAAACACAATCATTAACACCATGAATTTATCCTTATACTCTTGTGATAATCAATAGTTTCTTTCTCATCAAATTAGTTGTGCTTTAATGATCATACCATTCACCCCACACTCAAGTTCTTTGCAAGCACTTACCATTGACTGACTAAAATCCACCAAAAACTCTATTAGCAAACACTCAATTTAGGTCGTCGGTAGTGGGTTATTAACAACTTATGGTGCAACAATTATTAGGAGAATCTAACCACATCAGTGAGGTGCATATCTCGTGAGGGCAATCTGGCTTACTCACACCAATCATTAGCAATTAACTAAGCATGAGTCTCAAAAATAAATGGGGGAAGCTTTTCACAAACTTGGTTTTAACTTTAAGCACATCACTACCTTTCTGACAAGGAGAGGCTTTCTCTCTTTCTGATTTTGCTTGCCGAGTTGTCATATTTAGTACAAGTAGGATTTGTTTCTTACTACCGGTGATCTAGCAAGAGCAATTTCTGCTTCTTAGCACTCGCATAAGGGCTTCTTTCAACTCCTTTTCCTCGGTCCATGTGGAGGGTCACTACACATCCTCACATGGCACTTTACTCAACGAGGAATCGTACTTGATAAACAACATCGTACGTGATAGGGAAAAAGCGTATATGCCTTAATCCTATCTTGTAGTAAATCGGAATGTCCAGGTATCGTCTTTTAGGGACTGGTACAACCTTAAGTTTTATCAATTTATGGAGAAAACTATAAGTGAAAATGGTTTGAGAGATAAACTAATTTCTAAAAGCATAATTAAATAAAAAAATTAAGTAATGAAAACTGTCGGGAGAAATTCAATGGAGAAAGCTCTGGGAGAAACACCGGGACTCACTACCTATCCTATACAGATTAATTCACATAATCCAATCAATTTAATCCAACTCTCTACAGCCAGGATATCACGAATGTGCTAGCTATCCCTGTCAGGAATTACTACGTACTAAACAATTAAATCAAATCCTACTGTTGTAGCTCAATGACTTAATTATTTAGCCTGAAGATCGATATCCTACTTAAGACCACATAGCCCCTTATTTAATCCACTGTCGCTTCGATAAGTTACTATGTCACATGAAATATGTTCAGTTATTAGGGTTTCACTGTCGCTAATAACCTAATCAACTACAAATCGATGTATTGGTGGCCAGTCAGCACAAAGCATTAAGCAATTCCATGCAATAGATATTGGAAGAAAAGACATACGAATTAATCCATCAAATCTAGAAATAGCTACATCCTATGGTGTTTCCCCCAGAAATTGGGGTTTAGTTCAAGATGAAACTGAGATAAAACAATAGGGTTTGGTTCATCATGTTCTAAATCAACAATAAACAACTAGTTCGGTCTAGAGAATCCAACCAAAAATAATCGCTCTCGTTGAAATCAGCTCAAGCCGCCTTGGACAGCTCAATCACCAATTGCCGCTCGATGGAATCCAATTCTTCCCGGTCCTCTCGAGTCTCGCCCTGCTGCCCTCTCTCAAAGAAATTCCGTCCCCCCATCAATAATTCCCCCAGCCGACTATTTATTCCCTTCGCCCACTAAATCTCCCACGCTGCGTTTCATTAGTGTCAAGCATGGCGGGCTTCACATTTCAAGAGAAATTGGTCCGCTCCTTCTTTATTCCCAGCTAATTGGGCTTTAAGCCCACTGCATGCTGCCTTTTATTCTTCGCAGAAGAATTTTCCTAACCCAGCTCCTCTTTTCCAAATTACTTCCCCCAATTAATGCCTCTCCACCTCTTTTTAATTTCCAGCTATTTGCTCCTCTTCTCCCGTGTCCCAAGCCCAAAATAATCACCAGCCCGCCATTAATCTCCCTCCAGCTGCTCCTCTCCAAGCCCACGTGTTATTTAGCCAGTGATTCGAGAGCAGTTTGCCTGTGCAACTTCTTTTTCGTGTTTTCTTCACCTATAATACATCAAACTCATGGCACTAGGCAGTAATGGTTTTTCAACCATTCCCGGTTAGTGAGCCCTAAAATAGCACCAATCGGCTTAAACATATCATGGGATAGACACATAAAGTTCGAGAATCAGATATATTAAAGCCGATTATCAGTACAGTCACGAACCGATGCTCAATTGAACCTATCCTAATCCCCCTGTGCAACGAGTGATTCCCTCACACAATTTTGGTATTTTACCCACACTTTAATTGTTATTGCAACTTTCTTATATTTTACTTGTCATGTAGGATTTTTCCTTTTATAAAGATACAGTTCACCCCATCATAAAACATTCAAAACAGAGAGACTCATGCAAAATCAAAAGCTCACAACAAATGCAAGTAAGCACGGTATCCAAACTTGTCGAATGATCAATGTTCTCCACCTAACTACTTCACCAAATTCATTACACTATCCTCACAAAAAGACTGTTGCTAAAAGAGTTTGCTCATTCAAAGCATATCCAGCCAGTCAAACTATCAAGCTCATTGCGAAGATCTTTGCAATTCAACACTAGTGGGGTGATTTTTATGATTTCATTCAAGCACAAACTCATTTAAAAGGCATCACGGTCATTTACATCATGTTACCACAAGAGTACAAAGTTTTGTTTTTCAATTTTTCTGATTTTTAGGTGTTTTTTAGCCACTAGGTTAGCACAGGTAGACTGCATGCAGTTTGGCTGTGCACAACCCAAATGACAGTTTTTTTTACCACATTGTCCCTAATGTTCAACTCCTAATCTAAACATGCATGGATTTGACACAACAAAAAAGAAAAATAAAGAAAAGAAAACTCACCTTGGGTTGCCTCCCAAGAAGCGCTTGTTTAACGTCCTCAGCCTGACGTTCATGGAGCTTTCAACCAATGGGTATGGAAAGGTATCCAGAATACCCTCCCGAGCAATGATATAATGCATAACCTCCATCCAACATATGAGTCACCTCTGCAGGGCCAAGTGTGCAAAAATTGGGTACGACCTTCTTAGCTGGCATGTTGGATCCTTTAGTGAGGCATAGGTGGTATTGCAGCGCCTCAAGCAAGTACTCTTCCTGTTCCAATGTCATTGAAGAAGGAATAATAACAGGAAGATTGAAATCCTTACCCAAATATCTATACTTGAGGTGATCTGGCAAGGATTTATGTCCTTGCTTTGATCTCAGAATCTGAGCAGATAGGACATGTGATAGTTGTTCATGTTGTCCACTATCACAGGAGAAGGAATTTCTCCTTTCTCGAGCTCCACTTTCAAAGTCATCAAATGCATCGTGATTATGATCAACTTGAAAGACATTAAAAATTTCCTCCTCCTTACCTACTCGGAATGTAAGTTTGCCTCTCCCAACATCGATGAGTGCATCTCCAATTGCTAGAAAATGTTTCCCAAGAATGAGAGGCACTCCTTGATCTTCTTCCATCTCCAGAATCACAAAATCTGTTGGGAGAATAAACTTCCGCACCTTCACCAATACATTCTCCACCACTCCTTTTGGAATTTTCAATGATCGATCGGCCAATTGGAGAGTGATCCGAGTAGGCTTAACAACATCTCCCAATCCCAATTTCTTGTAGTCTGAGTGTGGCATCAAATTGACTCCTGCTCCAAGATCACAGAGTGATTTATCGAACTTTGTACCTCCAATGATACATGGAATGGTGAAACTGCCCGGATCATCCCTCTTTTCTGGTAATTTATTCTGAATCATAGCACTACATTCAGAAGTAAGGGTTAACTTCTCTAGATCAGCCCATTTACGCTTCTTTGTCAGCAAATCCCTTAAGAATTTAGCATATGTTGATTTGAAGTTGCTTGAAGAGATTCACAAATTTTTTGAAGTTTGGGTCTTCCATGGGCTTCATTAACCTCTGGGGGAATGGTGCGGGAGGTTCATAAGGCTTTACCTCTTCATTCTTGAATTTTTCCACCTTTGGAGGTGCATAGGCAGAATGCTCATGCACAGGCAGATTGCATGCAGTTTGCCTGTGCAAGTCAGATTTTTCAGCTTTTGCACTTTCTTCCTCTGCAGCTGCTTTGTCCTCCTTTTCTATTGGATTTTTCTTGATTTTTGGATCCTCCAACTCCTTCCCACTCCTCAATGTGACTGCTACAACCATGGCATCCTTTGGATTTCTCTCAGTATTTGCCGGTAAAGTCCTAGGAATCCTACCTTGAATATCTGCCAAAGTTTGAGCCATCTGGCCTATTTGCCTCTCCACAGCTAGCATAGATGATTGCATATTATTGTTGATGGATAGCTGTTGAGTGACAAATTCATCAAGTCCCTTGAAATTACTGTCTGTTTTCTGCATATAAGCAAAAATCAACTCCTCCAACTGGGGCTTCTTCTCTAGTTGAGGCTGCTGCTGTTTAAAACCAGGAGGTGTGATGTTTCGAACACCAACTGGATTATTGTTTGACCATGACATATTGGGGATTTGGGGTGATGTATCCATTGAAGGTAGTATGTATTTGAATACATACCACTCTGTCCTTGACTTCGCGGATTATTGATATACTAGACATCTTCCAACTGAGCAGCTCCCAGTGGACACATATCCATATGATGAGCACCCTCACAAAGTTCACATAAAGCAACCTCCTCTTGTCTACCAAGAGAAATCTGGACTTTTTCCAGAAATACCACTGTTTAAAAAAAGAATTCCAAAAATACCACCCAAACCCAAAAAATTCCAAAAATACTACCTTTTTCAAAAACCGCCACCCCACCCTGCGGTTTACACAAAAACCGCTTGTCGAGGGTGCGGTTTTCTATGCAAATCGCGGGCCTAGGGGGCGGTTATAAAAAAAATTTGGACCAAAACCGCCACCCCACCCAGCGGTTTGGTCCATTTTTCTTTTCCGATCAACTCCTAACTTCGGCCGAAACTTCAAACGAACGTAACTTTTCACTCGGGTATACGATCGTAGCGATTTTTTTTCATTTCACATAACTTTTCAAGATCTACAACTTTTATTAGGATAAAATTTTCAAAACAGGAACTTTTTGTGGATATACGGGACCTTGAGAATAACTTTACCTTTACTTTTCACAAATCCATGTACATCTTGAAATTATGATTATATTAAAAGTTGTAGATTTTGAAAAGTTATGCGGAATAAAAAAAAAATTCACAACATTCGGATTTTGGAGCACAAAGTTATGGCCGCCCAAAGTTTGACGAAAGGCGAGACCCGGCGGTATGCGGCTTGCAAGATCTCAAAAAGTTTGCCGCCTCCATTTTTTGAATCCGAATAACTTTTTGAGATCTTGCAAGCCGCAAATCGCAGGGTCCCGCCTTCATCTCGAAAAAACGTCATTTGCCACCCCGAACGAGCCTTTTTTTGATTTCGTCAAGCTTTGGGCGGCCATAACTTTGTGCTCCAAAATCCTAATGTCATGAATTTTTTTTTATTCCACATAACTTTTCAAGATCTACAACTTTTAATATAATCATAATTTCAAAATGTACATGGATTTGTGAAAAGTAAAGGTAAAGTTATTCCCAAGGTCCCGTATATCCACAAATAGTTCCTGTTTTGAAAATTTTATCCTAGTAAAAGTTGTAGAACTTCAAAAGTTATGCGAAATGAAAAAGAAAATCGCTACGATCGGACACCCGAGTGCAAAGTTACGTTCGTTTGAAGTTTCGATCGAAGTTAGGAGTTGATCGGAAAAAAAAATTTGGACCAAACCGCTGGGTGGGGTGGAGGTTTTGGGCCAAACCGCCACCCCACCCAGCGGTTTGGTCAAAAATGTTTTTTTGATATAACCGCCCCCTAGGCCCGCGGTTTGCATAGAAAACCGCGCCTCCGACAAACGGTTTTCGT